AATCATATAAAAACTCGAAATACAATGAATCATCGTACGCCACCATTTGATTTTTTAGTAATATTTATAAAAGTACACACAATTCTCTTATAATAAATGTCTGTCAGTCGAGAAAAGTCTCAATAAATTGACTATAAATTTTGTGAAATAGTTATTCTGCTATTTATTACATGATTTTTTGTTACAAAAAGTGATGCAGATAATTCATGATTCGCGACAGCACATTTTACGTTGCAACCTACTTTTATTTACTCTGAATTTTATGTATCTACCTGTGCGTCTAACAAGTTTGAATGTCTATACTGTAAAAGATTAATTTCTACAGACACAATTTAATTCCAAAAGTTAATTTTGAAATGACTATTTTTAACAATTTCAAGATGCACAGATATAAATGCTATGTACTATCAAATCAATGTATAATCGATGTAGGCTACATGGTGACGTGGAACTCGATGAAAGCCGAGGAATCTGAAAAAGTTACAAGAAAAAGTAAATTATTTATATTTCAATATATGTTTATATAGTGTAAATAAAATGTTATGAATTAATAAGTTGGAATTAAAAAGCACATTTTATATCAAAGCTTCTTTTATTGTTTTGAATGAGATGTGTGTGTATATTCGTGTCTAATAATTATACAATATTATACATAATTTTACCTTATCGATATGCGTTCGGCGCAAAGTATTGTTGCCCATATGGTTGCGGCACAAATGTATATGATGTCATCGGTGTATACAACGGCATGGGCATAGCCATTGGCACAGGCACAGCCATAGGCATGGCCGTCTGTGCGTATTGCGGCCTGGTCGGTCCTGCATATGTTTTTTCTTTTTCCTGGCGAAGTTGCTTNTCTAAGAACCGAATTTTTTTTCTTAGTCCTCCATTGAAACGCTGTAATAAAAAGAATAACATAATTGTATAATCCATCATGTATTAAAGTATTATAAAAACAATATCAACAATAATTGTTATATATTTCTTCTCTTCTTATACTGTGAACAAGCACAAATATATTCATACATTCATATGCACTCACTCAAAAAACTTACTTACAATACTGATTGTCAAGCCTGAACATGTATCTGATTTGTCACACACACATATATATACATGTGTGTGTAAGAAGTTAGATACGTGTTCTGGCTTGACAATCAATGGGTGCTTTTCAACTACGTACACAGGCGACACTGTGTAACACAGTGTCCATTAGTGTGAGAAAGAGCAT